CAGCGTCCATACAATTTGGTTTTAGAATTGGGCAGTTATATCTGTTACAAAAAAGATAAGCTAATAAAATATTTTGCCATGAACCATTTCAAATTACGAGTTTCTTAAAAAGGCTAGAGATAAAGGCCCTTGCCTGCCATTTAGATTAAAAGGCAGCGATGGAAAGTGCCACACAAAGAATGCCTTGAAATGAAATTCCATTATCGGCAGAGAAAGGCCGTCCTGCAACCCGCGCGGTACGTGGAAGAGGACAGTCGATCAAGAGACAAAGCAACTCATGTTAAGCTGGAAGCAGCTCAAGGCGATTGTCCGAAAAAGCACCAGATGGCGCGCAGGCGTAGTAGGTTCCCTATAAGCAGTCGAAATAAGATAAGCCTGATGTATGTAGTATATATACTTCAGCAATTGGAAAATGTACTGGCATGAGTGGCTGAGTTGAACTGAGGCTAAGTTATCCTGAAACTATGGCAAAGCAAATGTCGGACTTCAATATCAATTACAATGGGAGTATTTCTTGCATTATCAAACCACCGGGTTTTCTTGGTTCCTACTCATATTGATATTGAAGAAATTTAGATTGCTGATATCGAATTCCATAGTATCGAATTCCTTTATAGGCTCAGATCTTTTAGCAGCACACCAAGGCCTTGTCTTTAAACAAAAAGAATAAGAAACTCTTGGAAAATAGCATTGGAATAACTTCCGACGTTTGGCATACTTCAGAGAACTCTTAAAGGAGATGGCGGACTAGATAGAGATGTTTTTTTTTTGTGAAAAAACACGGTCAAAAATAAGAATAATATTATTTTCTCAAAACTATTGCTATTTTAAAAACGAAAGCTCTGTTTTTCTTAAATACAAAAGTACAAAAAAAGTTTGTCCAATATTGGACGATTGTACGGCAAGGGTTAACAAATTCATTTGGAGGGCGCGGTTATATTTAATTAATGTCATAAACCACATCACCAATATGACCGGGTGTGCATTGAGTGAAAACTCCCACGCTCAAAGCAAATAAGCAATCAAAAGTGGCATGTATTGGATATAATCTACGAGTATGTATGTATGTAGGTATTGTAGGAGTACACTAAATAATATTTCACTCATTTACATAACACATTTATTATTAACGATGTTATATTAACAATTTATTAAACAATTTTATGGTGTTATCGCAATTATTGCAAAACAGATAACCACAGACACAATGTACATACATACATACATACATATAGACTTACGCACGTAATTACGCATGCATTTAACGATGTATTAACATAATCAACTGCTCACACAAATGACAACGATAAACAAATTGCCAGCATACATATATTAAGTATACAAATGTGCTTATTTACATACAATATCATGTACATACATCCATGTATTAAAGTGATATCAGAAACATTTTTAACAATTAACTGTCCATCAGAACAATTCTATCAGGTGATTTAACAGCTAATTTCGCGACATTATGTAATTTCCCTCGCTTATGGCGTTTTTGGACTGCGTTAAAAATATCCTGTCTGGCACATCGCCCCAAACATACTTCAGCACGTACTACTTCACACACACACATATTGATATTCGAAGATTTTGAGTGGAAGGCACCTGGTCCCCTAGTTTCCTTTATGCTGGTATCTACATACCCAATCAATTATATTACAACTTAAATAGTCAGGTGGCAAAAAACTAGAATTTTCAGTTTAACTACGCAAGGCGAGCCCGATTCTAAACACCAAAATAAAGAAGGAATGAAGCGCCCAGCAGATTGGCATTACTTATGTATAATGATTCGTGATTTTAAAAGCATTGGCAGTTAGACTTAAAGCCATCCAATATAAGGAGCCAAACAATTGTGAACCATTGGGTAAGAAAGTAAATATTTTCTAACTGCAGTGGATTTTAACTAATGCTTGAATTTGGTTAGATTAAACGGGCTGCTCTTAAAGCATTCTCTTCTATATCGAGTTAGTTAGTTAGTTAGTTCTTGGGTGTAACAGAACAAGAGACACCGCGATGTGAAAGATCTTTTGTATCTTTTAAAGAGAGGGTCCCTAATCCAGTGCGGCCAAGATGAGGCCAAGAGACCTTACGCTTCCCTAATTAGTCCTAAAATGGCATTGGTGGACAAATTCTTTATACAAAGCTTTCGACTATTGAAACTTTAAATTGAATCCATCTTTGTCTGGCTAAAGCCGGACAGAGATATGTTCTGATATTTCAACATCTCCAAGGCAGAGACGGCATTCAGACTCTGTTATCACACCTATTTGGTGCAAGTGGAATCGCAATCGGTTGTGACCAGTTATGTACCTAGAAACTAGCCTAATGTCAGTTCTATTTTCTAAAATAATATCCTTTCTAATGAAAGTGCAGAAGAGGACTAACTGAGACCACAGAATGCTTCAGGTCCCGAAAGGGCCGTTAGCGATCCTTCTCATGCCAACTCGTCCCAAACAGTCGATTTTCTATGTCCAACCTATTCTTGGGCTGTATCAGCCTTTGGTACAATTTTTTCGTCACCTTTTTGGCAGCAGATCTATATATTCAGAGATCCTTTGGAATTTAACGGTGAATACTCTGCTGTCACTATTTCAAGGTACAGATTGTCAAAGGTAATTTCTTACGCTGATGATCTTGCCCTGACGGTAGTTGGTAAGCACCCCCAAGTTATCTGTTCTCTGGCTCAAGATGCCTTACACGACGTGGAAACCTGATTTAAATAGGAAGGAATTAGCGTAGACGCGGAAAAATCGATCATGGTTCGTAAAAAAAAAATACAAATTTCCCCGTACAATTTCTTTCCTTAGATTCTGTTGCGCTGGGTTTTGAGGGGATGTTAGATACCTGGCCGTTATTCTTGACAGAACGCAAACATGCGGCGCAATGCAGAGGAGCCGTTGCCGTTTATAAGAAGAGCCTCTAAATCAGAGATAGGGAAAAAATTAAGCTTAAAACCTCCCATTGTGAACTGATGTAAATAGCGGTTGCGCGTGCCATTCTGTTCTTCGGCATTACGGTTTGGTGTCCGTCCGTGGATATATCCACAGAAAAAAACGCAAACTTGCGAAGGTTCAAAGGCTGGCGTGCAAGATTATTACAGGGGCTTTTACCTCAACGCCGACTAAAGTCCTGAAGACTTTGCGTAACTGATAAACTTATATAAAATTGGTGAGCTTATATGGTAGGTTTTAATGGCTATTAGATTAAAAAAAAGTTCTAAAATTTTAAGAAAAAGCTATTGCTTATTTTTTATTCGCAATGCCCAATGTTTTTATTTTCGAAATGCCGCCAAGGTTTTTAAAAACTTTAATGTACATACATACATATGTCCTAGAGCACCAGTCCACCCCCTCTAAGATGGAGGAAAATGTTTTTTATTGAAAACCGCAAAAATTTTACCTACTAAATCGGGCATTCTCTATCCTTTGGTGGTATTACTGACTTCCGGTTTCGACCGATGTACATGTTTTTACCACAGATTCGGATTTTGCGCATATAAATACATTCCTTTTGTCGGAAACTTTATTCCAGTTTGGACCGGAAGTCCATTTTTTTAAATTACACATGTATGTTTTTACTGCAGATTCGGATTCTGTGGACAAAAATACATACGCAAATTTTGTTTGAATCTTCTTTCTCGGTAATGCCTTTTTCAAAACTTTTCAACAGGAATCCAGGACGATTTAAAGTTCGAAGGTCATTTAGAGGTTAAAAAAGGCACTTTCGAGAAGTTTCGAACAAAAGTTACATATTTTTATGCCTAGAAACTGAATATGTAGTAAAAACATGTACGTATATATATCTAATTTGAAAAAATGGACTTCCTTTCAGTTAAACCTACTTGCGGTCGAAACCGAAAAAAAATTGAGCATCCCCGATTTTGTAGGTAAAATTTTTGCGTTTACATAGGTCGCTTCTGTTCAAATTATTCCACAATGAATATACTTACATACATTTGCACAATTTCGTAATGGCTAGTGTCGCGAAATAGATAAAAATCTTCAACTTGTTTGGTAAAATACGAGCAGGTCCTTTATTTTTCGTATTCACATCATTATAATTTATCTTAGTAGTAATCATCGAAAAAGCGTACGAGCCAGACGGTCTACTAAAGCTAGCTGCATGCAATCCATTAAATACGTATCAACTATGTACATACATATGTATATGTAGATGTATAAACTGCAAAAGTCACTTCTCTTCTTCACAAGCCACTGCATTATTTATCGCACATTGCTGCTCTGTGCAGCGAAGCATTTGCGAATGTCCTGATTATGTAAGTAGAAAATTGGCTCAAATTATGCGCCATATTATGAAATTATGAAGTGCATTGTTTACAGCGAAATGTAATTACGGCAATTGTATTGTTGCTTTGCCATATTGCTTTGCGCCGCCCACACCACCATTTTTTGTAGGTAAATTCCAACAATAAAATCCGAATGCTAATGTCTACTCTCACAAGTGAACAATCAGTCAACCAAAAGAAGAGCAATGCAAATAATATAACTACGCGTCGAGTGTTTCTGAGCGGCATAGCAGCAGCATGTATGTGTGTGTGTGTGCAGCGAACAACAACAACAACAACAACAACAACATAAACAGTTAGCAGCAAAGTAGGCTTTACAATGCGCTAATAACGTTTATTAAATGCGTACGAGATTTTAATCATCTACGCCGCAGCCCACACAACACACAGCCACACACATAAAAACTCGCAGAAATTGTTTGCCATTTATCCACCGCCAATGACAAATTATGCAAATCCTTGTGAAGCGCATTACAAGTAATGCCAACAACAATGAGTAAATAATGTGACAACAAGTACAACTGGAAAATTAATCGCTGCAAATTAAAATGATGACAATGTCCCATATAGAACATTCGCCCCCGCCACCCGCCACCCGACACCCGTACTGTAATTCTTCGTGCATTCCATTCTTTTTCGCATGCTGGCACACTTAAGTGGCTCTCAAACGGAACTGAATGATTTACATACTTCTTCACATTTTATTTACCTTAATGATTAATGCTAAATGAGCTGCTATTTAATATTGAATTTTTAATTTACAAATGTATGTAGGTAGGTGTGCGTATGTTTATATTATGTAGCTTCGCTGCTATTAAAAACTACAATTGTAATTCTGGCGGGAAGTTAATATTATGCTCGCCATTAAGTCGTCCAACATCACGCGCCTGTTGCTCCGCTCTTCGTTCCTCTTCCTGGCCATCGAGGCCGAGGCCGAGACGCTCAATAAATTTTGCTGCGCGATAACCATTTGTCTGCAAAGAGATACATATTTTAAGATTTAAAATGGTATAGAAAATTACTTTAATAGTTATGTAATTATTCCTTCCAACCTCATAGAAGAGTGCTCGTCGCTTTTGACTTATTTCTGGATCAAAATCCCAATCGGTGCGTACATGCGTTATTGGTTCACCAGCCACATTATTCTGCAATGTCTCCGTAATTAAACGGACAATAAAGCCTTCACTATAGGGCAAGGCGTGCAAAAAAATGGCAACGGCGAGCTGCAGTCAAGAAGAGAAATAAAAGTTTGATGTTAAGCTGTTTTTTTTTTTTATTTTATGATGGGAGAAAAAATTTAAAAAGTAAAATATGTATTAAATACTTTTGAAAAGTACAAAAACTTTCAAAATACATAGCTCGCTTTCCGGAAGAACGTAATAATCATTAAGTATCCAAACAAAAATGTATGCAGCTACCGATCCCTTTTTTAAGCGCTACAAAACATGCTTTACGTTAACTCTCAATTTTGACCCAGGAACTTTGACCAAAGTCAAGAGCCAAATCCTCTTCCATTTCTTATAAGACTTTTATATTTTAGTGAACAAGTGGAAAAAGTTATCTTAAAAATAACGTTTCGACAATTATTATCGTTGGGCTGGGTTAAAGTGGTTGCCCCCAGGCAAGAGACACACCTGGACAATTAGGCGATTGTCCTTTGTGATACCACGAAAAAACTGAATTAATTTAGTCGGCGAGCTGTTTACCAAATGTTCGAATGCGGCTAATTTCGATCCTTCCTTTATGAATTATGGAAATCAGTTAACGTGGTCCAAAGTTAGGCGGTAACATACATAAAAAAAATAAAAATCCAACGAATTGATAACCTTCTAGGGATGTCGGTTGAAAATAGGTCGAAGTTTCCAAAATTTTGTTCCAGAATTTTTACTGCCGTTGTGGTATACAAAATTTTTTTCTTTAGAAAATTTATTTCCAAAAAAACTTCTTTTTTTTTATAAAAGCAGTTGTGTGTACACTTTCATACTCAGCACAAGTACGATTATCCAAAATATGAACGAATTCCAAACCATCACATTCATAATGAAAAAGTTTCCTTTTAGTTAAAATTTCATTTAAATATTAAAATGGCAATTGAATAATAACAAAAGGTTCATTTAAATGAAAATAACAAAGATGCTGATCTCGGCAAAATTTCATCAGCTGGCTGTCATAAATATGTTATGATACTACGAAAATGACATAATTTTTTTTCTTACAAAAGGGACCTTTGTGTCATTTAAATTTCCATTTTGGGTATTTAACTAAATTTCCTTTATGGGCACCTTTAACTTTAAAGTGGCTTTATGGAATCTATCAGCAAAATAAAGCATTCTTTAAATTTTAAAACATTCTTTAATTTTATTATGAAATCAGCCCTAACTCCATTAACAAAAACTTGGGAGATGCTATAAAATAATGTGTATAACTGTTCAAAATTAGTAGCTTTAAATATTATTTATTCATAAAGTTATTGTAAATATAATAAGCTACGATTATACCAAATGTTTTGACACTTAAATTTAGGATTTTTGAAAAGGTGGAGTTAATCAACTTGTGCAATGAACCACTCATATGTACATACGGGGGTGGTCCCAGAAATACCCGACCTAACAAAGAAAACAAAAACTTTGGGCAAAAAAATATTTATTTTTCAACACAGTCTCCTTTCAGTTCTATACACTTTTCCCAGCGATGTTTAATAAGTTCGAACTGTCTTGCTACTCAAAATAGCCATTAACTGCCGACATCATTTCTTCATCGATAGAATATCTTTGACCACGGAGCCATTTTTTGCGATTGGGGAACAGAAAATAGTCCGAGGGGGCTAAGTCTGGCGAATAGGGTGCATGAGTTAGCAATTCAAACATTAATTGATTAATTCGCTAAACTCGATTGAAACCACTTCACGACACTGTTTTTGGTCGAGTGTGAGCAAACGCGGCACCCATCTTCCACACAGCTTTCTCATTTACAAATCTTCAGATAATATGCGATGTACCGTACTTTTTGAAATGCCTACTATATCTGCTACCTCGCGCATTTCAGTCGACGACCATCCATTACCGCTTTGTGGATTTTCTTCACCATTTCTGGATTCGTCACCTCATTTGTAGATTGTGTAGTTTTTAATACAGCGATACTTTTCAAACAACTACCGACATCTCTTGGTTAGGCCGGGTACTTCTGGGACCACCCCGTATGTAAATACGTATTTCTATTTTTTAATGCAACATTTAAAAGCCAAATTCACTTATAGCCCAAGCACAAGGAAAACGACGAGCTACGGACCACAACTGTCAAATTATATGAACACTTACTCTTATGTAGATAATTTTGTTGGCGACGACAGGGCTACGCGACGACTGTGGTTGGGGCCAGATTAGATCTATTTCTATTTTTCTAACGACAGATAAGGTTCTACCTCTTCTTTTAGGTCAAACTCATACAGATTCATGATGTTGCTGCCGTGTTCAAAGTAATCATGTCGCCATCGACAAATCGTAATGAAGATAACAAATTGGAAGCTGTGGCCCGTAGCTCGTCGTTTTCAATGTGTTCAGAACTTGTGTCGTTGCAAATAACTAAACCACATACATATGTACCAACGGATATTTGTATTTATATACAATGTAGTGAATGACACTACAAAAATAATCGACACTTACTAGTACAAATTTAAGCCGTTTTGATAACATTTTATCACAATAACGTGTAGTCACATATATTAAATATTCAAAATTCAAACACTATTATTTTCTTTGCTTCGCAAAACTCCATTCTCCACCAACACTGATTTCCAACTAATAACCTACCGAAAATGATTGCACCAACGATTTAACAAACTTTAATTTCAGGAAATATTTGTGTATATCCGAGTATGTATGCATGTATGTACATTAGGGTGGTCCATGCATATGAAAAAGTAAAGTCGGAATTTTTATGCTCTCACCCCATACGATTGTTCAATACCGAAAAAATATACCCCTATTTTTTTATTTTGACATCAAAAAATATTTAGGGGTCGCTCAAAGCGCTCAAAGTTTCCCATGTTTTTTGTATGGGGAAAAAACAACTTTTCGTAGAAATGGTATAGAATTCCTAAAAATCAATAATTTTCTATCGCTCCAAAAGATTCCCAGTAATAATTACCAATTGTTTATTTAACCATTTTTTCATCGCAACTATCTTTTATAGGTCCGCCAAAAACCCATAAAAACCCCGAAAAGTGCAATGGGGCGAAAAATAAAAAATCGTTAGTATTAAAAAATGGTTAAATAAACAATTGGGTATTATTATTGAAAGTCTCCTGAAGAGAACCAGAGTTTTCCTATCGAAAAATATTGATTTTCAGGAATTCTATATCATTTCTACGAAACATTTTATTTTTCCCATATAAAAATACAAGAAGAACTTTGAGCGCTTTGAGCGACCTCTAAATATTTTTTGATTTCAAAATAAAAAAATAGGGGTATACTTATTTTCGATATAGAACAATCCTAGGGGGTGAGAGCATTACAATTCCGGCTTTACTGTTTTTGGACCACCCTAGTGTACATACATGCGCAAGTATAGGATTTTAAATTTAAAATAAGAAACAACTATGCAATGTAGTATATTTGTGTAAAAACCGAATTTTGAGCGAAAAATGAGAAGATTACACACATGTAAGCAGAAAATGAAGTTCGGTGAGAAACGATTGAAGTATTTTTTATACCCAACGGCAAATGATACTCGTATGGTGTTTTCGTTTGATCATTGCACTCATTGTAAACGACTCATTAATAACTAATAGTAACTTAACTTGTACAAAGCTTTTTTTGAAAAATTGTTTCTTATAGGGATGGCAAAAATAAAATAAAATAATCGATTAATTAATCATATGATTAATCACAGGCCAAACAAAAATTATTGTAATTAATTGCAATTATTGAGAAATAACAGATTAATCGATTTTTTAAAGCTACTTTTTTACAGTAAGTATTTACCAAAACATTTTTCCACAAAAAATCTCTAATACAATTTAATAGTAAATTGGACAAAAATAATCGATTAATTTTATCAAATGATTAATTGCTGTCATCCCTAGTTCCTTATCTTTTCACAGCTTCAGAGTGTAATTCGTTTAAAGCCACTTCTAAAAAACTTGTATCAAGCTTTTAGGAGGCTATACTTACACATTTTGAAATACATAATAGCCATAGTACCATGTTTGACCGAAATAAGGAGCCTCATGCATAAAAACTGAGCTGAAGCTCCAACTCGATTTTCGGTACAAATTCTTGAGCTTGAGCTCACTCTATCAGCGCAAAAATTTAGTCCGATGTTAAGCTCACTTTAATGCATGATGTCCAAGGAGTTGAATGCCGCATCTTCAGGTGGCCGCCAATAACAGCATCTAGTTATGGGAACCTCTTTACCTGATCTATTTTGCCGAAGCCTTTTAAGAAGTGGGTCAAGCATTACATATAGGCGCAAATGGAAACTTTTTTAAACTTCCTTTCACATCTAGTAATTGTGTACATTAGGATGGTCCAAAAATGTTTGTAAAAAAAGTAAAGTCCGAATTTTAATGCTCTCACCCCTTAAAATTGTTTATCGAAATCAAAAAATATTTGGAGGTCGCTCAAAGTTTCCCATGTTTTTATATGGGAGAAACAATTAGATATGTAATAGAATTCTTGAAAATCAATATTTTTCGTTCGGAAAACTTTGCTTCTCTTCAGAAGACTTCCAGTAATATAACATTACATTACATATAATGACGGGCGAGGAAAAAATTCAAAAAAAATCGCACATACACACATTAAAATTCTCTATGAAAAGAAATATTTAAAAAAAAAATTTTTTTCACATACAAATTTTTTGATAAAAAAATAGTTTTTGAAAATATTCTATCTCTAAAAAAATTTAAAAAAATCACAATGGTAGCTCTGAGTACTGCGAAATATTTAAGTATAGTAAGTATTATGGGGCGCACTCTACAATAATTTGAGTTATGAATTTTTTCTACACCGCAGTTGAGTAAAATGAGTACATTACAAATTTACAAATTTTTCAAATTTTTTTTAGAATTCTTTGCGCAATACTCAAAGCTACAGTTGTGATTTTTTTTCAATTTTTTTTGAGGTGGCATATTTTCAAACACTATTTTTTTACCAAAAAATTTGTATGTGGAAATTTTTTTAAGGAAATAAAATTTTAAAAATATTTCTTTTCATAGAGAATTTTAATGCGTGTATGTGTGATTTTTTTTCAAATTTTTTCCTAGCCCTGTTCTCGAGATATTTGGAAGACTATTAAATCGATTTGTTTTTGTTTTTGTACTGTAAAGATTTTAAAAATGTATTAATCAAGCTCAAATTTCATATTTGTTTATGGCTTATGTTTATGCATCAACCCTAAAAATTTGGAACAAATCAAACACATGAAGGTTGAAGCCCGTCTGTTTTGGTATGGTACACCCCATATACATATTTTCCGGTATAAAACAATCCTAGGAGATGGGTGCATTCAAATTCCGACTTTAGTTTTTTTACCACCCTACTACACTAATTACTGCCTTAAGCATCCAAAAAAGCACCAACGTTAAAAATGTTACGACAAATGCATACACTCGTGCGTTGGGTATAAAAATGGTTAAACGAGTCACTTTACTCCAACTCTACTATCATAAAACGCACTGGATCACCTGTTACTCATACGAAAGCCGGCTCTCAGTGCACCTAATCATCTCTTGGACAGATAAATGTCCAAAGGCAATTGTTACAAACCTGTTTTAATATTTATTTATTTGATTGCTTACAGCGCTTTTGCGCTCTCGAACAACTCTTTCGATAGAAAATAGTATGGTTGAATGCAATAAGAAAGTGTCTTTGAACGAGTTACTTAACGTTGACAGACATATGTATGTAGGTATGTACGTACATACATACATATGTATACTCCTGTATGTGTGAATGTTATAAATAAATTTTCAGTAGGAAGTAGCAAGTGATGACTTGTGCCCAACCTTTTGCGATTTGGGTTAAATTAAACACGATTTTTAATGGGATTCTCCAAAAATGTTGGTTAATAAAATAAAAGGGCATTTGTTGTTGCATTTTGTATGTATTGTTTTCAAGTTCAACAGTTTTAATTTATTTCAAGTTTATAAGTACACACACAAAAACTGTCACAGCACTTTTAACGCTTAAGTGCCAAAGGTTGAGAATTATTTAGATAAATATGTTACAGTTACATGTGTCTATTCATTTCATATGCTTGAAGCTAATGGCAACGCTGAAGTATGAAGAAGCACTCACAAAAATTTAGTAATTCTGTACAGTGACTCAAACTGGTGTTCACATGTTGATTTTTCTTTTAATATTCACCATGTTTTTCTATTTAAAATTAGTTTTTTTTTTTTTTATAAATCATAAAAATCAAAATTCCAAACTTTATACAAATATTAGAAAATTTTCTTGAAATATTTCTAACTTTTTACTCGTGAGTCCTGAATTCTTTATAGACCATAAAATTCGAGTATAATAAAGTGCAAGTTTCAAGCGGTTTAAAATTACGTAAATTTTTAATAATTTTTTGTTTTGCTAACGGCTTTTGCGGTTTTTATATATATACATACATACATAACAAGTGCAATTTATAAAATCTGGCGTTAGTTTTTTAATTATTTTGCGAACGGTCATATTTATATGGAAAAAAGTGCAAAAATGTGCACATGGATTCTTGCGGTCGTCTTTTGTTTGCCTCCTCAACGAAGTATGTGCTGAACATGTCTAACAACTAGGAAACAGTATGCCCGCGGCATTAGAGTCGTTGACGTCAGACGACAGTCAGACCTGTCAGTCAGACAGTCAGTCTGTGGCCTGACACCCACACGATGTGAGTAGTAGATTTTGAAGCTAAATCGTTAAAGATTTTTCTACATTCTATAGCAGTTATAGACGAGGTCTTGCAGCAGTCCAGTGACTTGATAGCTGCTTGACTATCGTAGTATACGGCTACTGGTTCTGGTTAAGCCGGGAAAAATGTTTTTACAAAAAAATAACGGAAAAGTTTTAGCTATAAAATCATTGTGGATATTAAAAAAAAATCAACATGTGAACATTTGTTTGAGTCACTGTGTATTTGTTTAGATACTATTTCATAGAAATTAGCTTAGCAATATGAGCATTAGAAATCGCTGTTCGACACAGCATAGCTTCAAGCCACTTGTTTCTGTAAACAAACATTTAAGGCCATTTTCTCATGTAGGTTTTTAAGGGCAGGTAATGCCCTTTAAACACAAATTTTGTTCTAAAAAAATGTTTTTGAAGGGCAGATAAATTTTAAAATTTTAAAAATTTTAACAGGCTAATAAGTTAAAAATTTATTGGTGCAACCGGGCATTAGCGCTCTAAAAAGAACAAAAATTTAGTTTAAGACGTAAAAAAGCTTCGAATACTCCCTATTTTTTTAACGTTTCCAGAACCAAAAGATAAATAGGCAAAATATTTGTAGACAATTTCTTGTTCGATTATCCTTTTAAGAATATATAAAATGAGATGGGCACGGGACTAAATATTTAATCCCGATCCCTCCTATCTCGAAATTCAATTTTAAAGTCGTGAAGCCTTCCCAACATTTTTCAGAATAGTACCGCGGGTCCCGTGGGTCCCGAAATCTATCACTAAGACTAAATCACATGTCTTTCAAATTAACTTTAATTAATAATTAAAGATCTGGCATCTTCTTTTTTTTGCTTTGCAGTGCGTTTTCGTCTCAATAAAACATAAAAAAGTGCTTATTCGAGAAAACGCTGTTAAGGAAGATTTACTGAATTTGCTTCGGGTTTTATAGGCAGTGTCGGGAAGGGATTTTTAATGGCCTTCCCGATACCGCCCATTCCAGCTATTTTGAAATCAATATCGCTGGTCTCTAATACAGGCGACGCCTCTAGCCCTTGTGTGTCTCACCCTCTGAACTTTTTTTTTCGATCGAGTAAATAACACCAAAAAAAACAATAAATTTCAAAGGCGTCATGTCAATTTCCTATAGGAAAAAACCAATTTCCCTAACGGATTTAAAATTGTCACAATCGAGCAAATTTTTATTTATTATCACGCAATCTCAACAATATTTTTTTTATTCAACAAAAAACATGTTTAACTACATCTGGCCACTTTGCAATGTCGATTGCATAATTCCGCGTGGCGGATATACATACATATGTATGTATATTCATTCATGTAAATACGTGCTCTTCCTGTGCTCTCTCGCTCTGCTGTTCAAAAGTGTTCTCTGTTTGGTTTTTGTGATGCAGTTTTTTTTGGCTGCCTTATTTCATATTGGCCTGAATACTCTACGCCAAATCAGGCCTTGGCACAAATAACTGATCTCCGAATCATTTTCGTTTACTTAAAGATTTAAAACTCTTTATTTCTCACTGATGCACACTGCTTTTTGATTTATGAATAGCCCAACAACGACTGATAGCTGTTAGTTTAGTTAATGATTTTAATGTGGCCTCGGCTTGGTTTAACGGATAGTTTGATGGCGCTCCAGAGCTCTTGGCTATGCTAGCTTTTTGTAAATGTAAGAGAGCATCACTTTCACTTTCATTACTCGGCTCAAAGCAAACGCTTTTAACGAATTGTTACAGATTCACTTGTAAGTTTCACTTGCTAATATTTAGACATTATGAAATGGACAATCTCGAAGAGCTTTCGCTAGTAGCTGTGAATCTAAATGCATATCACAGTGATATACTGAAGATAGAAACTCAAAATTATGGTATTCTATTCGGTTACCAGATTATTGCAGGATGTCTGGAATAAAATCTTTTACTACCGTAAAATCTACATATATATGTACAGTATACAGAATCCTGAAGCCGATACTCCAAAGAAAAATTTTTTCCTAATGAAATTAAGGCAGTACCGTAGGAAGCTCTCAACCTGCTGACATCAAAATGCTCCTCGGCTGTTATATGATTACCTGGGCATAGGGACATTCCTGGCAAATGCCTTGCCGATGAGCTGGCAAGGAGGGGGACGGATATATCTGAAGTCCTGCAAACACAGACTAAAGGCTGAACTCACCAAAGAGGTAAACACCAGGTTCGCTGTGGAAACCAGCTGCCATGCCACCAGGCCAATTGGATGAATACCGATCTCAAGGTAATTCCCTGAGTTATAGATGTACATATGTACATATCTCTCACTGACAGAGCTACATATAGTCAGCCTGCTTTACGTTTTCTAAAGGTCAGATTTGGCCGAATTACGTGGTCAAATATATTTCGAGACACCAAATTGTAAAGTAAAATTTTCAAGTTTAAGCCCGATCACTTCAAGTCCCACTCATGTGTAGCTTTCAAAGAGCTATGTCTGATGGTCTGATTATGCATAACTTCGCACAACTTCGCATAACCCACAAATTGTAATTTCGTACGTTCTTTGTATGTATTTTTTATGTACTCCATTACCCATATTAGATTAGCGGAACTTTTAAAAACTCAGCGATCTGTTTAGCTTAGATTTTGCTTCACATTTTCTTAAGTTACATTTTTATTGTACTGGTACAGAAGGTTGTGCGAAGTTATGCGAAGTATGCATAATCAGACCTTTAAGTGAGCCGCACTCTCACCTTAACCTTCTCTTTATTTTCATCGCATTTTCTACGCAACTCTTTCGCAACCATACGAGTATGTGCTTGCCACTTTCAGCCATTCAACTTCTTGGCTCATACTACTAACCAACATAACAACAGCGACAAATTTAGTAACTTACCTGACGTGCAGGAAGCCACTACCAACCGACCAGCCGCGAAAAATCCAAAAGTGTGAAGAAAGAACGAAATTACACAAAATAAGGCGGAAGTACCGCACAATTTTCGAAATTGTTAACTAGAAGAAATTTTCGAAAATGGCGAAATTGTTAGCTATTTTGTTGCATGTAAGTGTTAAATGTGGCAATTAGCCAAAAAAAAAAATATTTAGCATCGACACGAACTTGCGCTTAGCAAAAATTTATATGTATGTATATACGTTCATACGTATTGTACTTATGGTATGTATGTGCAAAGTGTGTGCAAGCGCCTAGCTTTATTGGGTTAAGCGTGAAATGGACAGGTGTTATGTAGGTCAACAAGCAGCAACAATCATTGCATGTTGCCTAGGCCCGTGTATATATGTATGTGTGTGTGTGTGTGTGCAGCTTATAGTCGAGTGTTCATATCAATTAAATAAATCTTGCAAAAATTTCGCGCTTTTAACTAATTTAAGTGGAGTATTTTCATTTTTGAAAACATTTCATCAAACGGTTAACTTGAAATGGAAACGTTGCCCGCGGAAGCCATCAACAGTGGTATCTAGCTATAAAAGCAACAACAACTACAGTAACTAAGTAAACTATGAATTCGTCGTGGAACGTGCTGTGGCCTCAGCTAGCTAAAGTCACTTTCGAAAACTGTTTTTGTTTTGGGCGTTGCTGTGCAATGTGTTTGGAATTTCAATTGCTGGTGAAAAAGTCAACAAAAAAACATTGTGTTTCTCCAATTTTCTAAAACAACTCATAGAGCACAAAGCAATGTCGACATTACTTAAGTGCCAAATCGCGGCATTTAAATGGCAAATTTTAGGTGGTTGACAGTTTTTTAGGCCAATACAAAATGTACATACATACATATATGTATGAGTTTGTAAGTGCATACAGTAAAGGCCACAAAACGTTTTACAGTTAAAAATTTGCTGATAAGCTTTTTCAAATTCAGTTTGAATGGCTTTGCCCGCGGGCAGACTAGTGCCCACCACCGCCTTAATATTTAGTTAGTCTAGACTTAATTTTCGTAGCTTACCTTAACTGCTTTAGCGGTTAGTAAAAACTTTACTTACAGTAAGAAACTTAAAAGCTCAGTTAGTCTATACTTAATTTACGTAACTTAACTTAATGTTTTGGATAGTCTGTTATATGAGAAACTTCGTTGGCGGTTAGTTAAAACTTAACTTACCGTAAGAAACATAAGAACCAGTAGATTTTAGTTTTTTGAGTTGCGATCTTACGGAAATTGAGAACGATGAGAAACTCAAGATTGCCTGACTTTTGGTTTTGTATTTCTTAAAAATGATTGTCAGCTAAATTTCGTTTGCAAGCATTCTCTTTGATGTGACATTTTAGGCGGCGGACTGTCAAACAGCTGCGAAAAGAGAATACAAAAACCAAATATGTTCGCTTGTGGCTTAAGTTGACGTGTTGAGTAATCATTGACGATTTCTTACGGTAAGTTAAATTAAGTTTAGTCCGGACTAACTGAGCTTCCCGAAAAGTGAGTTATTTTTTTTATGGATACATTTTCGGGATATTTTCTACCGTTAAAAAATTGGTTCTACTTAATCACGTGCATCTTACGAACCCATTTAATTTAAAATTCGTCAAATGAAAACTAACAAAATTCTCCAAACATACGTTTCAGATATATTTGTACATGGCGTATGAGTAACATTCTTTCCTGCGCATACTATCCCATACAAAAAAATCCTCGCGTATTCTTTTTTCATTTATCTATCGATTTTCTTGATTAGTAGAATAATTTTTTGGTAAAGCAACGGGCTTTAACAGAAATGAAAAATGAATAGATTTTATTATTTTAAAAACAAAGGTATATATATTTAAGTTTCATTTAATTATTAGAAACTTACTCTATGTATTTTTTTATTATTTTTTATTTTTTTAATTTAAATTTTTTTTGTAACGAAAATTATTCTTTTAATTGAACTTAATTTTTATAAACTTATTCTATTTTTGTGCTTGTTTTAATTTAAATATGGTCATTGAAGGTAAGCTTGTCGATCACAATGCCTAGAGTGGGCTTGGAGCTCTCTTTCTCAGTATAATTCGCGAGGTTTGGACGGCATTTTTCCTGTTGTCACGCCCCTACAAAGCCCTCAAACGTAATTAACCAACAAAGTATGTAGTCGAATATGTATGGATATGTATGTCTGTATGTGTTTATAGTATATGAACGATTTTAAAGGCATAAGAATTTTTGTAGAAATTGCAGCACTCTGCGTTTAGGTCCTTGAAAGTAACGGTGAATTGTTATGTTTGAATTTCGAAAAATTATCCAAATTCCCTTACCACATCTAGAGTAACATAAATATGTACATACGTATATACGAATTAGAGTGTTTTAACGTGTGTATGTACATTAGGCCCATTAACCACCTCTTATCTAATTTTAAATTGTCTTTACTTTCTCACGCTCTACTGCGCTATAAAATTTTTCGAATGTTGCTCGTAGAGTTGCAGTGTAATACAGTTTCCATATTTTTGTACACAAATTTATATATTCACATTCATGGGAATGTACATACATATATATTCACATAAATACGTCTGAACCTATGTATGTATGTATATGTATTTGTGTATGTGGTTGAAAAAATTGCATAACTTCAGCAATTGCATCAGGGCGAACACATCAAATGGAAGAATTCAAAAATTAATTGCAAAAATGGAGCGCAAAATTTTTTAACATTAAATTTTGTAAATAGATACGCACATATGCACATTTGTATTTAATTTTAATAGTTATTTTTTTTTACCAACTTTCCTCAGTTACTATTGTTCATGGCTTTTACGTGGCAATTCGGATATGCTACGGTACAACCAAGAGCGCCCAATTTCCAATATTTTGAGAGGTAAGTTAAATTAATAATCTTTATGCAAACATATCGTTTCGTGAAACGTGAAAAGGGGGTAAGTCCATTTATTTAAAATGTTCAGGAGAGAAGAAAAATAGATGTAGTTTCGTATTATCTGTCATTCTGCATCAAAAAGTCAAGTAAAAAAAGTAAAACTAGGCACCTTTTCACCTTGATGGATGTGTGTACTTTTATATGTATGTTATAGGTGTTTACGTATATATTTATTTATGTATTTGTTTTTCAGACCAAAGTACCGTTATCCCTATTATGATGAGAATGGCCGCGGAAAACTTCTATATGGCTATGGCGGTCCAGATCTGTATCAATACAAAACTTATACCCCTCTCGAAGGCATACATTAGTCAGTTCGCCTGATGGGAGCAATTACCATATGGACATACTTTCATATTTACATTTACATACATACTTACATATACTATATATAAAAACTTGAATAATTAAATTACTTTAATTTATTACAACGATTCATTAAGTTTATTACATCGTTTTACTAATAAAAAATGTGTCCCTTTAAGACATAACATTCGAACATGTACGGCGAACTTTTTTGCTGTTCCGCTCTAATGTATACTTAATTGTCTAGTTAGTGTAAATTTAACTTAACTCACGCAGGGGTAATTTCTAAGCAGACGTACTTAATATAGAAGGGACCTGGATTTATCTGTTAAGTTAAAGGGGTCAGCGACTGTAAGACGGTATTTAGGATGAATTTTAAGGCAGCTTTGGGCACAGAAATGTCCATTCACTAGGACGAAACTCCTTGAAAAACTTATAGAAAGTTTCTAAATACGTCATTATTGGTCTTTCGGACTAATCGATGAATGAAAATGGCTTCAAAATAACAGTGTATAAAGACAACTGTAAACATAAGAGATTCTAGTTAGAAAGCGTAGATTGATATTCGGTTAAGGAATGCACTGCAGCCAGGAGTTGTAATGTGCCCTCGTGCTCCTTACAGCACTTCGATCAGCCCCAGCCCCCTCAGAAAATCCAGTAGGGTGTTTTCTGACCAGCGATTCGGCTGCGGGTTTAGTGACCCGAGGTACTTATTTCATCTTCTCGGCACTACATCACATTCGAGCAGTAATGGCTCAGTTACGTATACTTGGCATTGCATGAGAGTTGTCACATAAGGAATCTGTTAAATGAGTTTTGAGTGTAAGCGGTTACCCAACGCACAGCATTACATATGTAGAAGTCTGTTGGTTTTTGATTTCTACGTAAAAGTGACATGCTATGCAGTTCAGTGCAAAGTATGCATACTATAACAGCTCAGAAGTTTCAGCTGTGTTGCCACAAGCAGGGCATGAATCACTAGACCATATTCTGAGTTTGTGTAGGTGGCTTTTTAATCTGCAGTGACCAGTTAGGATACCTAATGAAATTCTTAGTTTGTACTTTGGGACGTTAATGAACTCATCGTACTTTTTCCTATTGTATCCTCCCAATAAGATCTACTGGTCGCAGTCCATTATTCAACAATCTATCTATCCTCCCAATATGTTTCCTGCCTGGCGCTGCGCAGTCACTTGGTTCCAGTACCATTCTCTACTTGTTCTTTATTTTCCACTAAGCTTTTCTCTGATGGTGTGTGGTCCTGACGCCTTCCTAACAAGTCGGTCAGCCTCTTCAGTCCTTCTATGCCTATTGATTTCCGCTATAGCCTTTATTCGCTCGACGCACTCTAGAACCATTATAGACTTGATTTAATTGGAAACAAGGGCCCTGAGTGCGACCTAACTATCGCTTGATATTAGTATATTTTCGTTGCTATACCTTTTCTGAAGGGTCTTTGGTAGGGCTGTGCGATTATTCGATTACTCGAGCAAGTTGGTTAATCAATTATTCGGTTAATCAATTACTCGAGTAATCAAGATTTTGATTACTCAAAACAATGATTAATCGAGTTACTTGAAATATGATTACTCAAAAAAATAAATTTGCTCGTTAAAAGAGTTTACTTTGGAAAATGCTTATTTTCTTTTTACATTCTGTATATGAAAAAAATTTTCGTTTTAATTTTTGAAAACAGAAACGTTGTTCTCAAAGTATCAAGGAACTTTAACTACTTTATGCATATGTAAAGAGTTGAAATGTTGATTACTCATTTTACTCGAAATGTTGATTAATCATAAAGCAAATTACTCAAATATTTTTGTTTTTGGTTAATCAAAAATCTTGATTACTCGAGTAACTGAACTTTTGAGTAATCATAATTTCCAATTAATCGAATAATTGAGTTATTTACTTTATGATTAATTAAAATTTTGAGTAATCAATTAATCGCACAGCCCTAGTCTTTGGTATTTGACTAAAGATGCCGGCTCCAATGCCCTCGGTTGTTTTTGAGCCGTCTGCGTACCGATTAGAGGGTGCAGCTAAAAGCTTTCCTTATTCCCTAGCTCTATTTTGAACGCCTTTTCGAAGCTGATGATTCCACTGATATCATTCTGTGAGAATTGGATTACGAGTATCTCTGGAGTGACTTGATAAGGATTAGCACAATAGATCTAGCTTGGTGCTCGAGAATAGCCCCCATTTCTGTCGTAGGGCATGTGCACATCGCTCCTGTGATGCACGCACACGCAAGTAGTTGTACTTTCGTGAGTGAGCGCATCGCAGTCGCTAGGTTTACACTGCTCCATAGGTTATCATAGGTGTGACAAACATAGTACAAATCCATCTGAGTAGCTCAAGATTTTCCTGCAAGACACTTGCATACCATTGGCGGTTTTATGGCCCTGGATGTCGTCATTTCGACGTATCTATGTATTTCTATTATATATATCAGCACCGTTCGCTCGATTTTCAAAATTGGGGTGTCTAATTAAAGCGCTTGGTCTGTAGATGTGCAATAAGGTTTTATTTTTTCGAAAAGAGTTGCCACGAGTTAAATAATCAAACTCAAGTTATTTACTAATCAATGCCCTCAGCTCCGCACCGTCGGTTTGATTTTAAAAGGTGAGGTACCAAATTAAAGGGCTTAGGGTGTGGATGTTCAAAAAGGTTTTACTTTTTCGAAAAAAGTTGCCACCTGTTAATAAATTAAGTTCAAAATAATACGCGAAGGAATTTTTTGTTCCGCATAAAAGATCTGCACCGTTCGTTCGATTTTCAAAAATGGGGTGCAAAATGAAAGCGCTTGGCCTGTAGATATGTAAACTGGTTTTATTTTTTCGAAAGGAGTTGCCATCTGATAAAAAATTGCATTCAAATAATTTAATAATCAATGCCATCAAATCCACACCGTTCTTTCGATTTTCAAAAGTGAGGTGCCAAATCAAAGGCCTCTGGCTGTAGGTGTGCAATAAGGTTTAACTTTTTCGAAAAGAGTTGCCACCTTTTAAAAAATTAAGTTCAAGTTATTTTAAAAGCTTAAGCAATTATTACAAAATGGGCATAAATGGAAATAGTTTTGAAAATGTTTGTTTCTTAACTTAACTTTATGAGGGTTGCCACCTGTTAAAAAAATCAAATTAAATTTGAATTAAGGGAATTAGTTAATAGAAATATGTATTTGTGCCAGACGGTAAAGGTTAAGTATGTAGTAGTTTGTTAACATCTTGAAGAGGGGTGCCACCTGTTTGAAAAGTGTAATTTATATGAAGTATAAAAAATATGGACGTCAAGCGAATGAATCTTAAGAGATCTTTAGATGGAACGTTTAGAATATTTTTAAAGTGTTTGGATATTTACTAATTGGGTACCAATCGCAGTAGTTTTGAAAACACTTTATTTCTTAACTGCGTGTAGGAGGGTTGTCACCTGTTTAAACAATCAAATTCAATTAGAATTAAGGCAATGTGTAAAAAGTTATCAAACAAAAAAGTATTAGCAAATCTTAGTTTAAACATAAGAATATTTTTAAAGCGTTTGAGGAGGGTTTCCACCTGTTTAAAAAGTTAAATTCAAATTATCTATATATATATATAATACGCGAAGGGATTATTTGTGCAGCATAAAAGATCTGTACCGTTCGCCCAATTTTCAAGAATGAGATGTCAAATTAAAGCGCTTGGTCTGTAGATGTGCAATAACGTTTTACTTTTGCGAAAAGAGTTGCCACCTGATAAAAAATTGCATTCAAATAATTTAATAATCAATGCCATCAGATTCACACCGTTCGTTCGATTTTCAAAAGTGAGGTGTCAAATCAAAGGTCTCTGACTTTAGGTGTGCAATAAGGTTTAACTTTTCGAAAAGAGTTGCCACCTTTTAAAAAATTAAGTTCAAATTATTTAAAAAGCTAAACAAATTATTATAAAATGGGCATGAATGGAAATAATTTTGAAAATCTTTGTTCCTCAAATTAACCTTATGAGGGTTGCCACCTGTTAAAAAATCAAATTCAGTTTGAATTAAGGGGATTAGGTAATAGAAATATTTGTGGATGCCACACGATAAAGTTTAAGTACGTAGCAGTTTGTAAACATTTTGAAAAGGGTTGCCACCTGTTTGAAAAGTCTAATTTATATGAAGAATAAAAATATGGACGTCAAGCGAATGAATCTTAGTTTGAACGTGTAGAATATTTTTAAAGTGTTTGAATATGGCTGCCACCTGTTTAAAAATTAAACTCACATTATTTAAATAGTTAAACCAATATTTACCATTTGGGTACCAATCGCAGTAGTTTTGAAAATACTTTATTTCTTAACTGCGTGTAGGAGGGTTGCCACCTGTTTAAACAATCAAATCCAATTTGAATTAAGGCAATGGGGTAATTAAAATAGGTATCTATGTCTATAATCTATATATATAATACGCGAAGGCATTTTTTGTGCAGCATAAAAGATCTGCACCGTTAGCTCGATTTTCAAAAATGGGGTGCCAAATTAAAGCGCTTGGCTAGATGTGCAAACAGGTTTTATTTGTTTTAAAGGAGTTGCCATCTGTTAAAAATTAAACTCAAGTTATTTTCTAATCAATGCCCTCAGATCCGCACCGTACGTTCGATTTTCAAAAGTGAGGTACCAAATTAAAGGGCTTAGGGTGTGGATGTTCACGAAGGCTTTACTTTTTCGAAAAAAGTTGCCACCTGTTAAGAAATTAAGCTCAAATTAATTAAAAAGTTAAATCAATTAATAAATATTGGTATCAATCGAAATGGTTTTGAAAAGGCTTTATAACTTAACTACGTATAGGAGGGTTGCCACATGTTAAAAAAAATTTAATTGAATTTTAATTAAAGGAATTTGGTAAGTAAATCGCTATAGGGGTGTCATACAAAAGAGGTTTAAGAAGGTAGTAGTTTGGAAATATTTTGAATAGGTTTGTCACCTATTTGAGAAGTCTAATTGAACTATTTTATACCCAAGTTATATGAAATATTAACGAAGGATGTCAAATGAAAGAGCTTCAAGAAATACTTAGTTTGATAGTTTAGAACATTTTTGATGTGCTTGAGGGTTGCCCAGCTTAAAGGGCTAAACTAAAATAATTTAATAAGTTAAATGAATTACTAACCGATGGTAATCAACGGAAATGGGTTTAAAATTCTTTATTTAAGAACTGTGTTAAGGATGGTTGCCACGTGTTTAAAAAATGAATTTCCGCTTAATTCATCAGATACTTGAAATATTTATAACAATGTCAGGCGAAAAATATTTAAGGAAATTTTAGTTCGAAAATAATGTTTTGAAAGTGGTATTTTGTTTAATTACACATAAGTTACATGATATTTTAAAATATGGTTATCAAAAGAACGAGTGTTAAGAAATCTTTAAATTGATCATTTGTTTTTTTTGTTGAAAAAATTAAGCTCAAATTAATTAATAAGTTAAATGGATTGTCAAAAGATGGGTATCAATCGAAATGGGTTTGAAAATAGTTTATTTCTAAACTGTATTTACGAGAGTTGCCATGTGTTAAAAAAAAACTAAATTCAACTTAATTCATCAGTAAATTTAAATATGTAAACAATGCCAGGCGAAAGATTTTAGTTTCAAAATACCTTTAAAGAGGTTGACGAAAGAATTTTAAGGAAACTATAGGCTGATAATATTTTTAATTAGAATTGCCATCTATTATTATTTTTTTTTGAAGGTCATCACATCTGCAACGTAATTTCGAATTTCCAAAATGAGAAGTCAAATTAAAGAACTGGGATTCTACATAGATGTGCACAGGTTTTAATTTTTGAAGTTACATGAAAACCAACATCATGCGAGACCTCTCATCACTCAGAAATGGTTAGATTAATCATTAGGAATATTTTTCGAGATTCTTGAATAAGTTTCACCTGTTTAAAAAATGTATTTAAATGTTGGCGCTTTGACGCCATGTGGGTTCACTAGTTTCTTCTATTACAGTATTGTGTCGAGCATGACGCCCGAATATTTCACTTCCGGAACAGCACTGAGATCTGTTTCAACGAGAGTTACTTATAGTTCTCATTCTAGGTAGGGTTCCTCTTCTTAATTATAATATTTTATTTATTATTTGTTTTCAAATAAAAGTTAAAAAAAATAACAGCTTTTGTTGCTCTTGATACTTTTTGATAATTTTTGTGCCTGGCAACTGATACTTTTTTTCAAGCTCGCGGCAATAAATATACCTTCTCATTTGCTATCAAAAAGAACGTAAGGATCTGCGTTCTTTGCTATATCGTAAATGAGCTTGCCTAAAAGTGGAATGGCAACTCTGCGTACTTAAATTCACCATAATAATAACTTGGCTGCACTGAAAGTGGTCAAATTTCTAGAGGGAAAGCAAATGAAAACAACTTTTGCAACCGGCGTGTGAAAAACTCGAGAACACTTCAATTTTATTTAAATTCAATAAAAAATGTCACGTAAGGAGGCACTTTCGCAGTTCATAAATCAAATTCATGGACGCCCCGTGGTGGTTAAACTAAATAGCGGCGTGGACTATCGTGGTAAATAGCAGTTATACTTTTCCTGTAATCCTGTCGATAGTTTCCACAATAAATAGGTACATAGATGCATACTAATTTCCTGCAAATTCGCAGGTGTCCTTGCATGTCTGGATGGTTACATGAACATCGCACTGGATCAAACAGAGGAGTACGTCAATGGTCAGCTAAAAAACAAATATGGTGATGCCTTCATACGTGGTAACAACGTGCTATATATTTCCACGCAGAAACGGCGGGTATGAAACTTCAAAATGAAACTGGACAATTTCTCCAAACGGTCACATAATTGCGGTTTTTACTTTCATAATGCTTAGTATAATTAAAGTAATAATAAATAACAAAAAATACGTCTAGGCTTTATTCTACAATAATTTCCAGTTACCGCGTTGGATAGTATGGTGTGCCGAAGTCCTTTGGAATAGCACCTTGTTGCCTCAGCTGCTGCAATGAATAACCTCTGCCCAACATATCTACTAAGTTCGCGCCATGCTTTCCATACTTCCGTTCGAAATATGGACGCCATGCGCGCCCCAAATGTGGATTAAAAGGTATTTCGCTTTCTTGTGAAAAAGGCGAAGTGCCTAGAAATAGGTGCTCTATATAGTCCAACACAGCCTTCTTCTTTTGAAAGTGTTCACGGAAAAGATTTGCTTTGGCGGCAGTTTTAGGATTCTGCGATGGCAAATTGCGGAAATATTCATAATTCGCTAAATTCAAGCTTTGCAGATCAATTATGTCGATGATGTCGTGAATCAAAGCTTGCGTGCCTTGTTCCTGCACTATCCAACACTAAATTAAAAGACAAGGTAAATAATCACATATTCATAACTGGATAGTAACTTGTTTATACCACGGCTAGTATGAAAACGCTAACCCGTATTACACTTTGCATCTTCCTACTGTTCCTCCTGAGTTTCGAATTAAACTAATTTTTGAACAAACTAATCAATTGCTCCTAACCATTACATTTAGCACTGCACATTTATCTATTTACAAAATATTTGTTGCAAAATTCATTACGCAGCTGCTGAGCTGTGCGTGCCACCACACTTGTCCACATTTGCGACACATCCAAATCCATCTATATATATATATATATATGTACGTATACGTATGTATGAACGTATACGTATGTATTCATGTGGGCCGGTTTCGATGGGTGATGACAATTGATATTTATTAATTAGTATTCTATGCGCGCACTTCATCGCGGTAAACAGTGGCATAAGTGTTGCTATTTGTATTTACGAATTCGATTTTTTGCTTGATTATTACACATGAATTTCCCATAAAAAAAAATTTGCTAAATGCAACTGATGTTACAGGCCTTGGCCGGCTTTAAATTCGGTGCGTTCAAATTATAAGTGTTGCAAATGTTGGTAAGCATTGATGGTATTTGATAATTTTAGGCAGAATTAAGTCAATGTACATCATCTTTAAGTGCATGTGGACATTTTAAACTTCTTCTTTTATGGTATAACTGTTTTGTTTATTTACCAAATTAATATACATTTCCAGTTTCAGTTGAAAAAGCTTATATCTAAAGTACAAATCTAATCTCATGCATATGATATCTTTCATACACGTTCCTATTTATGCCTTACTAGTAATTGCACATTCCTAGATATTAATATATCACATCAAACATCATTTTCTTTCAGACTTCTTTAAGCTAAAAATGCGACGTATCTTAAAAGAAAAGTTAGCTTTAGTCCTTAAATGTAAAATATGGGAATGAAATTATGACAGTTTAATGATCCAAATTTAAAAACTATCAGTGTGGGATTGTGTATGTTGAAATAAAATGTTCATGAAGTTAATACTGGCTAAAAATCGTATATCATAAAAACTACTTATAATTTAGCAGAAACTCATTTTTTTATACGGTTCTCTTTTGGCGGCGGCCTCCCGCTTTGCTTCACGATGTTTTTTGTACTGACAAAAAAGCTCTGGCGTCCACACTAACACTACCAGTAGTAGTAAAATATTTTGTGCATGCATACTCAGTATGTAAGAATGTGTGTAATCACGTATCCATCCGAGTAATTGACCAACAGTAATAACGAGCACACCTTTAGCAATCATATTTAAACCCAAACCACCTGGTAGTTTTTCCGGACGGCAGTAACTTGAAATCGTTAAATTATTATTCAACACCGTTGCAGATTTTGTCATACCACAGAAAATTGACATCACAATGATTGTTGCCATGTCCATCGATTCGGCTAGAGCTAAAAATAATAATAATAGAATAAAGCAATGAATAAATGCATTTCGGAGCTTATTGTGAGAAAAGCTTACCAGCACGCGAAATGAGTAAGCCCATTGTGCCCAACAGAAATACAACGCGGTAGGGTATTTTAAGCTTGTCAGTGATGCAGGGTAATAAAAGTCGACATGTAATATCAGCGCCAGCTATAGCAGACATGCAAGTTGCTGTATTGAATGAAGAGAAGCCAACGGAGTTCTAAAAAAATATGAAATGAAAAGTTAAATAGAATTTTTACAAAGATAAGATAATTGCGCCAACCTGCAAGAACTGCGGAAACAGCATAGTAAACTGCATGGTGGATGTGTATACCAGTGCCATACCGATGATAATGCTCAAGAATGTCACATCTTTAAGCAGTTCTAAATCCATGGCTTGCACCAGACGATGGCTCACTTTGCTGCAGCAACTCTCCCGTCTATGTGCTTCTTCCGCCTTTGCCAAATCGGTGGATTCAACCACATGCGCTTCAAACTGCGGCGGACAAGTTTTTGCTTTCTCATCATCAGTTGATAGCAATGGACGTATACTTTGTCGATTATTATGTTTGATTGGTGCTGCAAATGGCTTTAGCAAAGCGGCACCCACAAGCTACAGGAGACACGGGAGATTTGGTTTTGACTAACTGAAAGAGTTAATGTTTTATAGCACACTTACGCCAACAAGCGAAATTAGAGACAGGGCCAGAACTGTGATTCGAAAACCATAACTATCTAAAAGTAAACGCACTAAGTGTGGCATCGTCACCTGTCCTACGCCAGCACCAGCCAACGCTAATCCTACAGCGCGGCCGCGCTTTGCATTAAAATACGAATTTATGGCCATAAATGTTGCTGGCGTAATTAACCCGAATCCAAGGCCAACCTGCAATTAATGTTTTTTGATTAGTTTATTTTTTTGTTGTCGAATATTTGCATTCACTTACAAATAAACTGTAGCCAACAATGAGATGCCAACTCTCTCCTGCAAATGCACAAAGGAACAATCCGCAAGATACTAGTAAAATGCCTGTAATTGCGACCTTGCGTGGTTTAAATGCCTTAATGGCTGGACCAATAAATAAACCGGAAAAATTCAAGGTCAAGCTACTCAAGTTCAAAATTAATGCAGCGGTAAAGGTATGTTCCTGCATGCTATGCAATTTGGCACCAAAGAGCAAACCGAAAACGGAGTGTATGTATGTATTGGTCATCTGTAAAGTTTGAAAGTAAATATTTATTAAGATTGGAATTATTTCCCATATTAAAAATTACTCACATTAATCAATGCAACGGCAAGCACAATCACCCAACCCCATCCGCCATCTGGCACAGATATGCCTGTCTCTGCAGTATCCATGTCTTCACTGTCTGAGTATATTTTTTGCTTGTGTTACAAAATTAAAATCCCCTCAACTAGTAAAAGGCTGCACTATTTTGTTTTGTGCTTATCCGATCGTCAATTGTTTTCGCTGAGAACTTGCCAACTGAAATAAAGAATATAAAATTAGCGCTACTAGTGCACATCTAGACTTCACGTCATGACGTGAGATATTAATCTTTTATTGCAAGAAATAAATATGAACCTGCGTATCAGCATACATATACGTATCACTTATCTTCAAGCCCGATAAGCGGCATGGGAAATTTCGTAAAAAACTTAATACAATAATGAGGCTTTGCGATGTTTAGCTAAAATGTAGTAGGAATGTACTTAATTTATTGCGCAGATATTCAACTATTTAAAATCATTTCATGTATGTATTTGTGTGTCTAGTAGCAAAGGCTATTTGGCATAATTGAATTAAATTTTCATTCAGCTCGTACAAAGGTGACAAAGTGCGAGTAAACAAATGTTCTTTGTACAAGCTTAATAAATTAATCGGTATAGCATAGTACTTTCAGCGGATCAAAGCAGATTAGGTTTGAATAGCCATATAGCTAGATCTGGTTACAAGCTCGAAACTCACAAACACCAGAGGATCTGGGGCAAGGTATTGTTAAAAATCAAACAGCTCTATTTTTTGGGCCAATGCTGCTGCTAAGCAGCTGAAATTTTGCATTGAAATTTATTTATTTTTAATTAACGAACACTCTTAAGTCGCTTACATATGTATGTTCATATTTGCTTGTAAATGCTACATACATACATAAATGCATATTCATGCACATATATATGTACATATACATATATGTATTTACATATGTCCTTCGTAAAAATGTATGACTAAAAATAGAATAGCTGAGCCGATATCAATAGACCTGCTGAATTGAATATCTTAAACGGAGGCACTCTAAATGTATGTATGTACATATGTACGTACTATTTAAAATAAATATATTTATGGTCTTATATACATCTACTTATGTATACATATTTGGGGTCGTTGTTTTATAGTTAAGTTTGTATATGCATACGTACGTACACACCTCCATATACATATGTACATATTCAGCAAAACAATTTTATCTGGAAATACTATTTTGGAAAAAAAATTTACCAAAAAACTTACACGCATTCAGGAGCTCTCGTTTGTTTACATTTTCAAAGCTGTATAATTGTCGGCTTATGCTTTCACTACTTTTTGTTTATTTTTTCATAAAACAACTACTTTTATCACTAAATGCGAAGTAAACAATGGCCGGGAGCCCCCAAGGGAAGTACAGGAAAAAGCAAAATGAAGAGTTGCCAAGCCTACCAGTTGAATAATATCCTTTTGTAGTAACATTTTATTAGCTCCATTTGGATTATATAAATTCAGAGAACGTACGGTAAACTGGAGTCTTCCTAGTATTATTTATTCTTTGCTGCTGTTTTATTTGGTATTTATGGAAGAAGCGTCGTTTGATAACTGTGTGTTTTAATCAACTATGACAAAAATAAGGTAGTAAAGCCACTGGCGATTGATACAATTTACTGGGAATGTGAAACTTGAATTATAGAACAAAGTTTATTTATTCTTTTACTTAAATATTCTTTATAAGCGCTGACAGTATTTGAAATGCAAATTTCATTGAAACTGAAACCGAAAGCGAAACCGGTTTATGCAACAAAAAGCGATAGCAACTCTACCAATTAGCCATATTGGTTTTTGCGACATCTAACGGGCAAGGGTAAGTTCCTCTAGCTCTAAGCAAATCGTAATTAAAAAGAAATATACTTTTAATTAATTTTTAAAGCTATTTTAAGAATTAACCTAAGCTCTTCGCAGCTGAGCAGCTCAATCAATAAGTAGTGATCAGCACTACTTTTTATATATGTGCATATGTATTTTTTTTTTACATCATGTTCAAAAGTTCAGATTCCCCCGAGATTATCTTTACAAAACCAGCTCAATCCGGTTAGTCCTATGTTATTACATTTGTAAATACGTATATAAATAAATCAATACCACCGTCTGACAATAAATCTCAGACTCAGGCCGGGTAACATGCTGTTGTTCGCCTCGGTCAGACTCAGTTTTTCAATACATTTTGTGTGTTGACCGTTATCAGCATTAATTTTTTTTTACAAAAGTACATATGTATGTATATTAAGCACGGTTCAAAAAAAAAAAAAGAAAAAAAAACATAACATCATTATTTTGACTAATGTAGCACTCACTGTCAGTGGTCAGATAGACGGTGCGAGGCGACCAGGTCCAATTCGATTGTGAGCTTTCTAGGAAATCCAGTTTGAGCTGGTTTAAAAGTGGATTTCCATAATACACCCGTCATTCGTTATCAGCTCAATTTAATGCTTTATTTTTCTATAGCAAATATATAACTAGTATATACTCGACACATTTTTCTGGCAATCTGTTAGCTTTATATTTTAAAGGCAAATATGTATAGTGGGCCCAATAATCTGCAGTATGAATTTTGATTTGTTTTAAAAAAAATTAGAATCAGCAAATAATCTGTACGTGACCAACAAATTGGATTAATTGTATATTAGAACAAAAAGTCTATTCAGTTTATGTAATGAAATTTTGATGTCAAATTTAGGTCAAGCTAGGGGAGTTTTTATAATCGGCGAATTAAATAAATGCTAGTGAAAGTTTTATGAAAAGTCCCCATCGTGCTCTAATTCTGAATAAATAATGATTACTTATATTGATAAGCGTTAAATGTCTGATTTATGGGGAAAGGCCCCAATCAAGTTCGGCTTGCTAAAAAAAAAAAATTAAAAACAAAAGGTCGTTTTTGGTAAGTTGGATCTTATTTAAACTATTTAGTACATGTGCCCATTGAAAGTTCTATGAAGAAATTCGCATGGTAGTTAAGTTAGACCGAACAACGGCAGGTTGGTAGTTAAACGACGATTTAAGGAAATCGTACTAGAAGAGTTATAGATTCCCGTAAAATTTATACTGAAATGTAATTGTCGATGGCAGCGGTTAGCGGCGGGCGCTACCATTCCGCAGGGCCTGAGTTCAAGCCATATCCAACCCAACATTTATACATATAATAAAATTGTAACAGGTCGATACATCTGTACATTAAAGATATTAAAGAAAAATTAATATGAGGGGTCTTTATTAGAACAATAGAAGCTAAATGAACAATTTTTAGAAATGTTGTCTGTCTGTCTCTCTGTTGTATGTTTGTACGCGCATCACTCGAAAATTGATGTATGCAATTGAATACACTTTTCACCAATTTATTGCTAGGGGTCTAACTTAAAATATAGGAAGAAAAATAATAGAGAGCTGCCATCTATTTGAAAATTGCAGTTTAAGTAAATTGATAAGATCAAGCAAATCTAGCAGTATGGCTGTCAAAGGTTAAAGAAGGCTTACAGCCGAAAATAGTTTTGTGGAAGATGCCACATGTTTAAAATTTCATTTTAATTTAATTGATAAGATAAATTACATATTGCAATATGAGTATCAAACTGAAAAGGTTTAGGAAAGTTTACTGCCGAAAATATTTTTGAGGAGGGCTGCCACCAATTGAAAAAACTTTATTTAATTAAATTGATACAGTAAATTAAATATTACAATACGGGTATCAAACAACACAAAAATACTTTTAAGGCGCAGGGAAGCACGCCGGGTATTTGCTAATCAAAAACTAAAAAACAAAGAAAAAGTTGTTTTTTCTTCCGAGTGTATTTCTTCGTTTCGCATAAAACTACAATCGCTGTTCGGAGTCTGCGTCACCTTCAACCTTCTAATATCACCAATGAACTCTCTGTGGGATAAACAAACGTCAATTTATAAATTAAATCAACACAACTTGTATACTCTTATTTTGTTATTAATTTTTACTGTGGTTTTTATTTGATTATGCAAAAATTGCTCAAATAAAATGGAGAGGTGTTAAAGCTTTGTTGTTGTGAAATTAGTTTTATCTGTATTTTGATTCCATAAAGATATAAGAAGATAACATTCTCTTTGTTTTAACTGGTGAAGATAATTCTCTAGGCCATCTTTTTTTTTTAAATAAAAGGTCATAAGAGTTGTTTTAAGTCAGTTCACACATATGTACATATCGTCGTTTAAAGTACAAAACCGCGTATCAACAAAATTCAAAACCGCGTATGTTAGGTTGCATGAATTATTTTCTAGAGAGTAAAAGCACTCATATTTCAAAATGGTTCTCTTTTTTAGAAAGCAATCGCATTTCTCGCTACTATATTTCAGGACGAATGGATAAAGCTTGAGCCAAGAGCTTGTGTGAGCAAATCCAATTTTTGGCAGTAAATGTTCGTTACGCGGTTTTTCACAATGACGATACACGGTTTTGTACTTTAAACGACGATATGTATTTTTTTTTATATTAATCATCATTTATAAAACTCACTTTTAACAGTCTGCCTATACAGCTTCTGTCTTATAGGTAGCAGATCACTGGTTTTCCGAATTATTTTGTATTTAATTCACTTGATACGCGCTAATCGCTTAAAAGTTCCAGACTGAATGAAATTAGCTTGCGATTGTGAGATGATTTTATAGAGCGCGGTGAACGCTGTCATTGTGTTCCTTTTGTAAACAACATGTGCATATAGCGATTATTTAATGTAAGATTGTCGCAACTCAACAAACAAAATATTTTAGAACTCTGCCTTAAACCATTCTGGTTAATTCACATTATCGAGGGCTTATATTCAATATCGTCTATATGCAATTTTCGGAAAAACTAGTTTCTGAAGTTGAAACCCATCTGGGACTTAACTGTCATTACTTGTGCTGACTCTAACTTTGAAATTCAATAGTAAATTCGACCAGCAAGCTATATATAAGGTCAGCATTAACAGCGTCAATGACAATTAATTCTTAGGTGGATTTTTATATCAGAATCTTGTGGAAATTGCAGATAAAGGGTATTGAATACATGTAAGCCCTCGATATGCAGTACGGTGACCATTCGTCCCGATTTGGGTGGGACAGTATGGATTAATTAGTGTTAAAATAATTAGACTTATAATTATCACAATAAATCCTACAATGTCCCTATAAGAAAAATAAGGATGAAATGGAATTTTATCAATATTAGAATTTAGTCGAATTGGATTATTTGAACCTGTTTGATGAAGGAATAATAAATGAATTAAAGTTATAGCTAATACAAGTATAAGGGACGTATAAGTGTCCCGATTTTTCATATTTGCACCGATTAAGTCACGATTTTCAGTGTTTTCTTTATTAATTTAATAAGAGTCTCCCTGTAATCTGGCCCAAAAATAATTTTTCGTACAAACGTGACAGCACAGTCGTTATCACAAAGAACATAGAATATACGGGAGCCATAAACATAGCCAGCATCCTGATTTTCTATTATCTTTGATTTTGTTTTATTCTGTCAAACCGATACTATCGCTATGTTGGAGTCTATCATTCTTCTCCCTTTTTTATAAGGAGGTGATTCGTCAGAATATTTTTTTTTTTATGTATGTTACCACATAATTTTGGACCACCTAAACCGATTTCTATAAATGAAAGGTGGTACCTCAGAGGTGGTCCCATACCAATTTGGTTTAGTTCCGATCATTGGATCATTAAGAAATTAACGGTTATCTTAAATTTTTATATTAGCATTGAAGTCGGTTTTGTGTTTTTGCATAAAAATCACTTGTATAATTATTTGTTAATTTTTTTTTTGTTTCTCAATAAAACGATTCTAACTTGAATTTAGTGAAATTATAAAAAATATTAATTCCCTAAAAAAACATAAATTGGGGAAAGACATTTTAGCATTCTTTGGTATTATTTAATGTTTATTACTTTTTTTATGAAATAATAGCTCTTTGTCTAACAAAAACCATGTATGTATGTCAAAGATGCAAACTTTGCACAAAAATTAGCAAAATTTGAGAAAATTTTGGTCGAAATTTTGAGCCCTTTATTAGATTTTTCAGAAACATTCTGAGTATGCAGCTTTGTAGCCCGTTCAATTCAAAGTACAAATTTTAAGTGGCTTGGACTTATCGTCGATTTTTTGGCATTTTTTTTTGTGGAAGATGTTGCTCATTTTCTCTATACACAAAAAAAAATGGTTGAACCAAAGGTTGAACATACATACATAGTATGTACCTTGTATGGAGGAATATGTGCGAACAAAAAATTTCCGAAAGTCAACGATAAGACCAAGAAGCTACCTAAATTTTGCACTTTTTATACAACAATTTAATGGGCTACAAAATTGCATACTCAAAAAAATTCTAGAAAATCTGATTAAAATATTTAAACTTTTAATCAACATTTGTTAAAATTCGTTTAAGTTTTATAAATGTTTTGCAAAGTTTGAAATTTTGATTTACAGATTTTTTTTTAAATGGTAAGTTATATTATCATAAAAAAAATAACAAACACATTTTAAACAAAGAAAAGTAGCCAAAACTTGCTAAAATGTCTATTCGCTATTTGCATTCTCGTCATCGTACATATTTATTGTGTGTATACATTTTTGCGATAATTTTTCAGGTTTGTTCTCTTTGGTCTCTTTTAAATAAAACTGTATTAAAAGATGTTATGTCTTTTTATTCTAAAAACAATATTGTAGGTTCGGATTCGATTCTTTAGAAATGTTCCGATTTTTGGCCACAGAAATCTGGTCACCGTAATTGTAGGAGAACGATTTTGCTGTAAGCTCTTATATGTTCTTACATTTTAGTTCAAATATTACGAGTACTTTCTACGCTATGAAGAATTATGCTGCAACACATTGAAAACGACGGACTACAAGCCACAGATACTCAATTAGTACATACATACATAGGTCTAATGTAAATAAATATTTTGCGATAATTTTTACGACAATGCAATACATAGCCATCATTAAACTTTTGGCAGTTTATTCTAGTTCCCTTCATTCATAAAATCAATTATTTCCGGTAGAATAACGGAAATAGTCTCTGACTATTGCATACTTTTGGCTGCAAGATTACGAGCCTTTACCTTAACAGGGTTGTCAACACTACGAATAATGTATACGGAAATAAAAGGCATCAGTAAAGCAGTGTGTGCTTTGTTCAACTTTGCGTTCAACATTTTCGTTCAACTCAATGCAGGGTTGCACTTAAAAAAAGTTAAATGGCTAAATGTTGGCTGGCTACCAACTTCGTTGAAATCGATTAGTTGAATAGCCATTCAACCAAAAATAGATAATAGCAGAGAGTTGAACAATGTAAACACCTTTTTATGGCGAATATTTGGATAATTTTTCGTATTTTGATAGTTTTAGCCAATCAACTTTTTTCGTGCAACCCTGCGCCGAGTTAAAGTTGAAGAATACAAACACACTTTAACAGAATGTTCGCTCGCAACCACAGTATATACAGTAAGTGCTTATTTACACACGGCGATTTTTGTTGCCGCAACTCGACGTTCGTAGGAGAGAGCGTGACGAGGAAAGGAGAGGGGCACCGAGTTGCTCGTGTTCGGGCAACACGCTTTATGCTCTCGTTCGCCTGTGTAAATTGAAACGCTGGTCACAGCTGACAACAACAATTGCATACACACAAATCGCCGTGTGTAAATGAAACGAGCAACACCGAAAGGGAATGTGAAAAATCGCGTCGACAAAAGTTTCCGTGCATAAACACAGTCTAATAAACATTTTCGCAGTTTCTCACCATTTGGCCACCGAGGAGTACTTTTGGGTTGTGTGCAGCGTTTTCGTTTTGCGCGCACGGAAACACTTACTGTGGGGAATTTCGCCTCATGATTAGAAATGTTCCTTTCGAGGATGAAATACACATAATTATGTGTTATTTATGAACAAAATGTAGGTTAACTATAATATTCATCTTTAATGTATGCTGATATTCATGCTTAATGAAGAATAATATCAATAGTTAAGTACATAATGAACGCTTGTGTTTTATAAACTGGAAAACTCAAATCGTAATTATAGCACTGAATAAATTTCTTAAATGTAAGTTTAAAATTAAAAAAAAATCCATTATAAGATTATATTTATATGAAAAACGTAAATTTTGTCAATTTATCAAGCAATATTCTAAATTTCGAAATATATTTAAGTCTTTATTAAAAAAAAAAAACAATCTGTGTACAGACCCCAATGCCTGCCAGCGCATCCGCCCAGTAAGTTCATTAAGCACACCCAAATTTGAGTGATCTACAAATTATAAGCGTTTTCAGCATTTAACAGTTTATTATCAAGTACGGTCAAATAACGTAGATAACAAGAAGGGACAACTCGTTATAATTGTAGCGAAAGTGAGTAACAGGGGCGTACCCTGTTTCATCCAATTAAAAAACTTACTAGAGAAAAAGAGAAGGCACGCCCCTGTTACTCACTTTCGCTACAATTATAACGAGTTGCCCCTTCTTGATATTTACGTTCATTGGTACGGTGTAATATAACAAGTTATACACTGAACTATGATAATTTGTACTAGTCTCTATAATAACAAAAATAATTGCAATATTTTTACACTTTTGCAATTAATTTCGGTTATTATTACACAGTCATGAGTTGTGCCACTCTGCCATAGTACGGTTGTTGCTCCCTTTCATACCACAGTAATTTTGTATACAACTCTGAATGAACAAAATGCATGCTCCTTCTCATTATCAACGCTGATCAGATTTTACCCCCGAGGAGTACTCAAAAAGGTTTATTACTGTATATACTGTGCTCGCAACTGATTCTCGATCGAAACTCAAGATTTTTCAACGCTCTCAAACGAATATTTAATAAAATTACTTAATCCAATTTTTACGAATCTTCCACATTTGAAGTCTGGCAACAATAACACTTTGGAGACTTTAACTAGTCTCACAAATCAACTCTGTTTGGAACACGTCAGTTTTCTCCCACAACGAATCCAATTAGAACTGCGTAGAGATGCCACCCGATTTCATGATTTTCTGACTCCCATTTATACACGAAATTTTCATACTTTTCCAACTCTTTGTGGGACAAGATTTCTCTTCACAACTTAAATAATTAAACTACAGTAAAATAATCAACATTTATGGAATAGTTTTTAATTCTCCAGCTAAATTTTTCCCCAATGCAACCCTTGATTCAGTGCTCGAGTCTGGCAACTTGCGCCGCCGCAAAATCTTTGACGGCGCTGTAATCTTTTTGTTGCATTTCTTTCGCTTTCATTGTGGATTTCGGTGCGCGACTGGTGAGAACGCGAAAAATTGTAGGAAAAATCGAATCGCTGTAAATTGAATTTAGGGCAGAAAAAGTTTTGCAGATAATTGTGAAAATATATCATTTAGCTAGCTATAGAAACAAATGCAATTAATGCATTTTGAAGTGCTCAATTAATTTTGTGATTGTAGTGCGCCACATTTTTGGGTGTTCACGCGCAAGCAAAATACAGAAAAAAGAGGGGTGAAAAATTGCAAAGCGGAAAATTTTCGTGCTGTCGGTAGAAATAGAAAAAAGGGCAAAACAGTGGACGAAAGAGAAACGTAAAAAATAGATTGGTAATACGAACAAAAGAATGAAAACAACTTTTTTATAGATGAGTGTCAATTAAAACAATTAATATAGTGAGGATTTGGAATGCTGCAGTCGCTGCTAATAGGAATTTGACAAAAGAAATCAATTGATGTAAAACACATAGAAGAAAGTTTAAACTTAAGATGGGCACAGAAGAGCAAACGCTTGGGGATGAGCCTGCTGCCCCGATGAAAGCCTCGGACAACAATCAAAACTTCAACACAACAACTGACACGGTCCAACAATTGCAACATGTACAACTTCCGATAGCATCGGCAGCGCCGCAAGTGATAATTATGCCTGCCTCGCAAACGTCGACTGCAGCCACAAATGCCGCCAAGAAAATACGTCGAGCTTTCTCCATGCCTCGAAATCCCTTCCGGTGGTCGCGCAAATTTAAAACTTCCACTTCAGCAGTAGAAAACGCCAGCAGTGCTGGTGGCAGTAACATAGCGATATCGTCGTGTGTTGGTGGGGGTCGTGGGCGCGCCGGTAGCATCGTTTCGCTGAGCAGCTACGAAGCCATTTCTAAGGATGCTAATGGTAGCAACGACAGTGGGGTTGGCGCTTCTGATGAATCTAAAACTGGCGGTAGAATAAAAAGAGATGTTATTGTCAAAGCAGTGGAACAGAAAATAATAAATGGCAAACCAGTTTCCGGTGGCAATGAGATTAGCAACACTGCCCCTGCTTCCAATTCCAATCGTGTTCTAAGGCGCTCATCATTCAGGAAGTTTCTAAATCGTATTGCACAGCATGTCAGCACGTCAATTAATGTTGGGGTAAGTGCGATATTTTTTTCATGTAATTTTTAGCAAAAATTTAATTTTAAAAAGTTTGATCCAATGTCAATAGCGAATAGGTATAATGTGCTTACATACATACATATCTATTTTAAAATATTTTAAGAAGCTTTTAACAATAACATATACATATGTATTGTAAAATAATTTATTACAAGTTAGTATATACCAGTTATACTTATTTTCATAAATTTCTATAAACGTCGCCTTATAGTCTCCTACGTACGCATACTAAGAATAAGTATAACTCCTTTGCGTACACTGCCCATTGTTGTATTTCGTTTTTTGGACACCGCCTCTTTAGAGCCGTTATGTGTATTAGTTGCCTGGCTTCCTCGTTTGTTTGGTCTTTTCAGCTGGAACCCAAGTGCCTCTTCAATGTTTGGTTATGGTGTAAAGTAGTGTATACATATTGCACAGGCATACATATGTACAAACATAGAATCGCCTGTAAAATTTCTGATGCAATTGTGGAGAGTGGATGCCCAATAAAATGCTACTTTGTTTATTTTTCCACGGTTGTGTTTGCCCTGCATTGTTGGTGTTTAGAACGAATCACTCTTTCTTATTGTTGTTATGTTGCTTCCGGAATGTGTGTCAAGCAGTGACATGACGCAAAAAGGCTTTGGCGCCTCTACTGTTGGAACTATATATTTGCTTACACATAACAAAACTAGCTACTTATGAATGTACATACTTACAATTGCATGCACAATAGAATAAATGTGTTGTCCAAATAGATGAGAAAAATTTTTAATTTTTAATGTTTCTATTCTTTAAATACAAAATAAATACATATGTAGTATGTATGTATACAAATTTCCATGAAGTAATAAAAATACTTTTTTGGGGGTTTTCACAACTTGCTTACATAAGTATAACCTATTTTATTAATTAAACCATTATCAAATTGTATACAGATTGGAATTATGATATTATAAACAAATACAAATGTATATGAAGTTATAAGAAGCTAGAGGGGGCTGCTTCAACTAGAGGAATGTGAAAAGAACTAATAGGGAGTAATGAGCCAGAGCTACAGCCGCTAAACTTAAGCGAGGAATACGTGGTAATATTAAGAGCACATTTAGGTTAAAAACTGTTCACTCATTTTGATTTCATTGGATGGAATTTTAAACCCATTTCAAGTGCTACCCATTATACAAAAATTTTTAAACAAGCGACAGCCCTCTTTAATATTCTTCCTGTTTAAGCTAAATATTTCCTGATAGTCTTTCGTTTGGCGCTCATATTTTAATATTTCATCCAGAAATTATGTATAATTTGAATAAATTCGAGTTTTAAACGGATGGCAACACTGCAAGTTGCATTTACATTTTAAAACGGGTGGCAAGCCTGCTACATGTCTTTTGGGGATAAAGCTTCTTCAAAGCCATTTTTATTAATATCCATATTGAAGTAGTTTATTTAACCTATTGCATACATCGCACTTAATTTTGTTAACAGGTGGAAATCATGTGATTTCTTTAATTCAAATTTAAATTACATTTTAAAACAGGTGGCAACCCTCCGACATGTAACTTCGAAATAAAATATCTTCAAAGTAGTTTTGATTGATATCCATATTGAAGTAATTAATTTAACTTATGGCACACATTGGACTTAAATATGTAAACAGGTGGCAACATTTTTCAAAATATTTTTTAACTGATACATACCTTGTTAAGCGTGCTCCGTCTGACACACGTATTTTAATACATATTTATATTATATAATTCCCCTAATTCCAGTTGAATTTAAATTTTAAAACAGGTGTCCATCCTGTTACGTCTGTTTTGGGGATAATGCTGTTTCAAAGCCACTTTTATTGATATCTATGTGGAAGTGAGGTATCTAACTATCGCATACATTGAACTAAACTGTGTAAACACGTGGTAAGCCTCTTCAAAATATTTTGGAACCATATCCTTTTTCATTTTTTTAGACGGGTGGCAACGTTCCTACATGTAGTTTAGAAATAAAGGTTTTAAATGCCTTTTTTATTGGCTTCAATATTTTAGTAATTAATTGTTAAAACCATTTCGATCGATACCCATATTGTAATATTGATATAACTTATAAATAATTTGAAATAAATTTTTTGTCAGCTACTCTTTTAGAAAAAATAAAACATTATTACACATCTAGTCCTAGTCCTTAACTTGATTCATTTTGAAAAATCGAACGATCCGCTTACATAACCTGTATATGTATATTACAAAGAGCAGCCAAGTTAGAAATAGGACTTTTAATTTTTTTTACGCGGTCGACTTTTCGCTGGAATCGCCCATATACAGTGCCACAAGCAAATGACCAAATGATTTTCTTCAAATATTCGTAATGTTTTTCGAGCAAATGTTTTTTTTTGTTATTTTTATATAAAAATATCGTCAAAACTTTCACCAAAACCATGTAAATCACAGTTTCAAACTTTATACAAAATTTAAGAAAATTCAACAAATTTTCAACGTTTTATTCTTAATTTTTAGTAATTTTTTTGGTATGCAGTTTTATAACCCATACAATTTTAGTCTGATGAAGTGCAAGCTCGGTGACGGATTTTTGCACTTTTTTCATATAAGTATGAATTTCTTATAAAATAAAACGCGGGAGACCGTCAGCCAAAAAATTTCAAAATATCAATGTAAGTTTTTGTAAATTGCGCTTGTTATATTAAAAAAAAAACAGAAATTTAGCCTAAAAAAAATCTCAAAAATCAACGCGATTTTTTAGCCGTTTGAAACTTGCACTTCATTAGACCTAAATTGTATGGGCTATAAAACTGTATACCCAAAAATTTTAAAAAAAAAGTTTAAGTTTTGATGAAAATTTGTTGAATTTTCCAAAATTTTGTATAAAGTTTGAAACTGTGATTTACACGGTATTTATATAAAAATAACAAAAAAAAATTAGCTGGAAAACTGTATGTTTGTATGTAAGTACTTAGATAAAGGTCGTGGACACGACTGTCATTAGAATGTGAAATCGTCTTTACGATGGCAACACCTTCTCAAATTAGTCTTTCAGTCTGCGGTAATTACAATAGCGACTCAATTTTTAAAATGCAACTTTCAATACAACAAAACTTCCCAGGTTGTTAAACCCTTTTAGTTTGGGTTTTGGTTAATTCTTTCTTTTTTTAAGTTGTAAATATAGCATCCAATTTTATTTTTACTATGCAATGCTTAAAACACCTAAAAATGTATGGGAAGTTGCTCGCTAGACCGATATTATATAGCTCTCTCATATGCCAGGTGTGTTATTAACCACATCTTTTGGCTGCGCTACAATGTGATATCCATCATTCCTTGGGGTTGACAACACTTTCTTTTGCTGCATTACACCAAAGACAATGTTGGCAAATTCATGTTTTTTCGGCCAAACGCCACCATTTGCTGACTTAAATATTTATTTTCGGTCAAAACACCACTCCCGAATGTCATTTAACACCTTTGCTTTATTACATATTTGACAATGCACCACAATTCCTGTCAGCAATATATGTATGAGTTGACTTGGTTGTTGTGGTCGTTGTTTGATGATTCACAACTTAAGAATTTCTGCTATTTTATATATTTTTTTATTTCACTTTCACTCCCACTTCAAACGGGCATAGTCTCTTTATATCATTGCCTTCCCGCCCCTCTTAATACGTGTACATATGTACATATGCATGTATGTATGTACATATGTAGGTATGTATGAACTTATGGATTTACGTATACATATGTGGCCTTTCGCTTTCCTTCCTTTGGCTTAGCTGTCATCGTCGCTTTTTTATCGCCGTCTTTGCCTTCACTACTTATGCACTTTTGCATTGTTTGAAAAATGTTCATATCAACTTAAACAACTGAAAAACTTATAGCACGCAACAAGTACAGCAAGTGATTCCGAAGTTCATTGATTTTATATGTATGCACACTAAGGTGGTCCTTAAAATATCAACAAAATGGTGCACCCCTTTATTTGGCTTTACGTACAAAGTACAGACATCTACAAAAATTAAAAAAAAAAATATGTAGGCATCGCCCTATCTCAGAATTCGGTTCAAAAATGCCCTATCTTAAACCAAAATACATTGAAAATAAGCTGAGATAAGGCTTTTTTAATCGGCAGCCGAGATAGGGCGCTTTTCAATCAAATTCTGATGTAGGGCGTTCTTGAAAAGTTTTCTTAGATAGAGCGTTGTTGAAAAATTTTCTGAGATAGGGCGTTTTCGAACTGGCTACCAATATAGGTCGATCATCCGCTCAGCCATCGATATATGAATAAGTAAGTTTCAATAATATGTAAAATTTATTAGAAAAAAATTTGTTTACAATTCTGAAATTTTCGTGGATGTCTTTATTTCGTAGATGTTGGTATTTTTTAAGGACCACCCTAATGCGCATGTATAAACATATCTGGTATGCGTGAATATCTTCTTGAATAAATGCTGTTGTGATTTTGGTTTTTGCTGTTATTGTTGTGGTAATTTGTAATTTTTTATTATTGTCGCTATTTGTTGATTTCTTGGTCAGTAAGTCCCTCTGTATTTGTTATTGTTTTGGTTTTTGTTGTTATAGTTGTTCTTGTTAAAACTTCTATTAATGCCGCCCTAATAAAAAGTTTAGCGTTAATTCATTATCAGTTAACATAACTGAAGCCACGGTACATATGTATGTACATTAGGGTGGTCCAAAAAGACTAGAGTCGGAACTTGACTGCTACCACCTCCTAGGATTGTTCTATATCGAAAAAGTATACCCATATATATATTTTTTTTAAATCAAAAAAAATATTTAGAGGTCGCTAGAGTATCCAGACCGTAACTGGGCCAGGGCAGTTGAAGCTCCGTCTCTGCCACAGGTGGTGATTGAGCTCCGATCACGGCATTCATAGGCCGGGAGTCGTGGTAGGTGGTGACCGACTGCCTATGAATGTCGTTGCTGAAAATATCACTTATTTTCGAACTTAAAGTTTTTTTTCACAAACAATAA